TAGTCTAGCCAAAACCAATAATTTGTCATTTTAGTCAAATTTATTTCACAATAAGATTATATCTTGTCCTTATTTGATGAAAAACACAGGTTGAATGATTAAGAATGCGGCTTTGCAGAGAGTATCTGGTCAGGTTTGTGGTGTTTTTACCAGCTGTGTTATGGCCACATTGCTTCCCTTCTGATAAAACAATGCATTCGCTTTTTTTCTCCGCCTCATTGTAGCGAAAATGGGACCAAATATCACATCGTTTCTTTCTCCCAAGCAGTGGTGGCTTTAGACTTTTTCGTTGTCAGTCATTTTGACGGACAGGATCGTGACATTTCCGTCATAATCCATTATTACCCGTCGAGTGCACAATTTATCACTCACTCGCGCTGACGGGGGGGTATTCGGTTAACGCGAGTGCGACCACTGCTCCCAAGCCCTGTTATTGCCATTTTATTTTCTGTTAAATAAGGTTAGTTAGACCATGAGTTAGACCCGAGTCTTCCTGACAGTTCACAGTGTGCCGCTGGCCCGGTGTAATTCAAATGTGCCGCCGCGCTCAGCAGAGACACACAGCTGCTGCCCAGCCGCAGCACCGGAAATGGAACTGCTGGGAGAAAAACTGACTATCAGAGATGTAACGTTATCTTTGATAATATTTCGTCTCCTCATTTTTCGCCAACGAAAGTAAAGAGAGATTTTGGCATAGTTTTTATTTAGTGAACTACATTTTCGTCTCGTCACTTTTCGTCAACGATATTGCATGATGATTTCGTTACAGTTATTGTTTACTGCCGTCGGTGCCGTCTCGTCATCGTCTCGTTTTCGTCATGGAAAAAAAGGTCGTTGACGAACATATTTCGTCATAGTTTTAGTCAACGAAATTAACACTAGTTTGCACGCACATTGGCCGTTTGCCTTTTATTCATCCCTTCCCCTCAGAACTGCTCACTTCCTGGGTGCACACGTCTGGACTCGCTCAGGTTGGTTCAGTCTGGTGCCAGATTGAGTAGTTCCCAGCCTGGCTTTTTTCCTGTGTAGAATAACATTACAGACAGCGGTAAGAACAAACACTGTGTTCTAAAAATGTTTGAATGTATATTTGCCTTTTTACTGTATTTAAACAATAGCAGAAGCTAAGCAGTCAACGGGAAATTGTGGTGCTCAAATTCCCTCTGAGGATTGTTATCTTGCTTGTGTGTTTTGTGCAGAACGATTTGCTTCATATTATTGTTCACTGTCAGTTTCTCAATGACCCTCTGTTATAGTACTTGCAGATATAAGCTAACCTAAACCGTGTGTGTTTGCTCACGTTTGTTTCTAATGGAATCAAATAAAATGCATTGCTACTTAACTGTACTTCCGGTATATAGGTCATATAATCCATAAAAAGTCAATTTAAAGGTACACTTAAAGGGATTTGTATTTTAACGATCATTTAAAAAACCAAAAAAAACATTGAGGTTCCAGTGTAAAATATTGGAGGTATGTAGAAAATCAGAAACAAGTGTAGGCTATGAAAAAAAAATGTTTCCTGCAGCATGGACATTTTGTTTAGTTAAAGCTCAGTATTACAGCTCTGCTGTTCTTATCCTTTATTCATTGGTTGTCTATTGTTTTCATTCCAGATGAGGTTGATCCATTTTTGCAGTGCTTTGCTGCTGCTTGTCTTTATTCCAAGAGGCTGTCATGGAGGAAACATCTTGGTCTTACCCGTTGAAGGTAGCCACTGGATCAACATGGATATTCTACTTGAGGCTTTGCACTCCAGAGGACACAATATAACTGTTGTGCGTTCTAGCAAAAGCTGGTACATCAAGGATGAATCCTCTTATTACAATACTTATACAGTTCAAGTGGAGAGGAGTCTTGATCAGGAGTTCATTACAAAAATGATATTTGACTCCATGAAATTTGAAAGGGGGGCTATTCCCTTGACAAGTTTTCTCAACACGGCCGTAGGAATGATAGGCACGTTTGTGGATGCTCATTCCACCGTGGGTGAATTAGTATCAGCAATGCTAGACGACAAAGAGTTAATGAGAATCCTACAGGACAGCAAGTTTGACCTGGTACTCACCGATCCCTGCTGGGGCCATGGGGTCATTTTGGCCAAATATTTAAACCTTCCTTTGGTTTATAATGTTCGTTGGCTAATAACTGGAGAAGCTCATCTTGCTATTGCTCCTTCACCTTTATCATATGTCCCTATAACAGGATCTGGACACACTGATAAGATGACCTTTCTTCAGAGAGTTACAAATGTTTTATTGCAACTAATCAACCTCATACAAAATCAAGTGGTGGTGAAGCTAGTATACCAGAAACTGTGTGACAAATATTTTGGGTCTGATATTGACTTCAACCAGTTAATGCTTGATGCAGACATTTGGCTGATGAGAGTGGACTTTGTGTTTGAGTTTCCTCGTCCCACCATGCCTAATGTTGTCTATATTGGAGGGTTCCAGTGCAAACCAGCAACACCTCTCCCTGAGCACCTGGAGGAGTTTGTGCAGAGTTCTGGAGAGCATGGGGTCATCATCATGTCTCTGGGGACCTTTGTAAGTGAACTTCCCTCTGATATGGCAATAGGGATTGCTGCAACGTTTGCTAAATTACCCCAGAAAGTCATCTGGAGATATAAAGGTGACAGACCAGCCACTCTGGGCAACAACACTTTAATAGTAGATTGGATGCCTCAGAATGACCTTTTAGGACATCCCAAGATAAAACTGTTTGTGGCTCACGGAGGAACAAATGGTGTTCAAGAGGCTATTTATCACGGAGTACCAGTTGTGGGTCTGCCCCTGTTTTTCGACCAATTTGACAACCTGCTGCGTCTAAAGGAGAGAGGCGCGGCTAAACTTCTTACCATTCAAACAGTGGACAAAGACAACAACTTGCAGGATGCCATCCAGGAAGTCCTGAATGAGCCCTCCTACAGGTTGAACATGCAGAGACTCTCCAGCCTGCACAGAGATCAGCCAATGAAGCCGCTGGACACCGCCCTCTTCTGGATAGAGTTTGTCATGAGACACAAAGGTGCAGCTCACCTGAGAACAGAGTCCTACAGACTGCCCTGGTATTCCTACCACTCTGTAGATGTGACTTTGTTCCTGGCTGGAGCTGTGCTGCTCATACTGTTCACTTTTGTGTTTTTCATCAGGTGTTTGTGCACTAAAATGTGTAAATCTAAAGTGAAACGTGAGTAAACATTCAAGGGATTTGATTCAATTGTGTACATTAAATCAAAGAAATACTTCAATATGCAAAAGGGTTTTGGGATTCATATTATAGACTGATATGCGATTGTTTGAGTGCACATTCATGGAACATTTGACAGCTGACATGCATTAGCTTTTAGGTAGGTACATTCATTTAATTAGTTTGTTTATATTCAAGACATGTACTTGCATGAACTTAATGAATGTTTTGACCTTTTTCATATCACTACAAGCATAATACTTGAAATGTACGTAAATATTGTTGTATTATATAAGTCAAAGTATGGAAATATATGGTCTGTATTTGATCTTTGCCCAAGGGCATTTTGAAGGAGTGCTTGTATAGCTACTTAAATTGAAAGATTCACAGGCTTTCAATGTTAAGGTCTGGTCATTCCTAATGCAGCGCTAAAATTGGTTTCTGGCTCATTGATGACATCATCTTTGTACTGTGGCGGTGCATCTGTATTTTCACAGACCTGATGTGGATGAATTTTGTGAGGTCATTGAGATGAGCTTCAGGTGTTTCTGCTTTGTGTTGCTCGACAACAGTTTTCTAATGTGCTCCTTGCAAATATTTGACAATACTGGATCTGAATGGTATGCTGTAACGAACCACACAATAAACATGTTTGTTTACCTTCAAACTGTGTATTTATTGGAGGCACACATCAGCCTCTCAGTGGATTTCAGGGGAGAACATAGTATGCTCTACACCAGGGGTGTCAAACTCAAATACACAGTGGGCCAAAATCAAAAAATCGGTACTAGTCGAGGGCCGGACTGGTTCAATATTTCTTGCAGAACTTATTGAAATGAACTTATTGCACATATTAAACCTGGAACTAACATAGCTTAAATTATTGCCTATAAAAACAACATTAAACATTAAATAATCAGTTGCATTCATTTCTTATCGTTCTATCTGCAGCTTTTCCGGAGTCATTTCTTATGATTACATTTTTCCACAGGCCAACCACAGCTTCAAAAAGCTATTCCCTTGGATTTTTCTACTTTTCTTGTTTCCCTAAAAGGTGGAGTCTCTAACTGAAGGATGTGCACAGGTCTATGCAAATGCTATGATTAAAAAGGCGTTATCAGCGCCTGGCTTTTATTATAGATCCAAAGCTCAAGATCATCTAAGGTCAACGTGTTGTCACTGTTTTAAACTTAAAAATACTGAATGAGTTTTATTCATCTATATTAGTTGTACAACTTGTTGATATTGTTTTGCAGTTTTTGTTTATTCTAAGTCTAATATAATGCAGGAAAAATGTATTTTTCCATCCCACCCACATGACCTGCTGAAAGGGTTTTTGATATACATGTGATAAGGAAATGATCTAAATGCGGATGTGTTGATACCTTTACCAGCCAGCAGGGGGTGAAATTCCACCATTTGCTGCTTTCACAGAGAGATGAGCTATTTTAAAATGTGAGATTTTTCAAAGAACAAGACAAGACTCATCTGAGCATTTTAAGCCACATAACAAATCCATTATTAAAGCATGTGGCTGTAGATTTCTTCTGTTATCCACTGTAATAAGACAAACCATTTTAATGTTTTTACAATCTCAACCTTTTATTTAACTAAACATTGGAAACACAGGATTATAATGATCCTGTTTTAATGTTATTTTGTCTTCCAGTCATGTAGTTGTGTAACTGCTATTTCATTCAGCTAAACACCATGAGGAACCTTTACTACACTTTCTTATCACCTGTGTGGCTTACGACATGATATTGCAGTACCAAAGTCCTACTTTGCTTGGAACCTGGAAGAAGAAGCACATAGCCTACTCTTCTCTCCGGCAAGGGATAATATTGCAAAGCATTGGACACAAAAAAGGTAACACTTCCATGTGTTTAGCATTGTATTTTATAATAAATGACTGATAGCTTCCCATTTTAACTACAGGGATTTTACAAAAGTCATATATTATCTGGCATGCAATGTACATGTTCTGGTTGTCTGTAGTTTAGTTTCTCTTAGTTGTACAGGATTCACTATTTAGATCGTAATGTATATAAATGTGAAAACGGACATAATGCATATTACATCACGCATCAATTAGATTGAAATTAAAATGTAAACACCGTTCTATTTATTTTTGTTCTTAATCCTGCATTTGATTTTCTATCATCAAAGTATCTGCAGCAGGTGAAATAGAGTATACTACTGTAGAAAGCTTTAATGTAATATAATGTGAGCACTTACAACTTTTAAAGGTAGAAGGTAGATACAAGGTTAATAAAAACACTATGAAATGATGCATATATATATATATAATTATATTATGTTTCCTCCCAACTTTAGACCAAAAATGAACCAGCTCTGGATCACTCTCTTTTTGCTCTGCCCAGCTGTGATTTACGGAGGTAAAGTTCTTGTCTTCCCATTGGACGGGAGCCACTGGGTGAACATGAAAGTCATCATTGAGGAACTCCATGCAAGGGGCCACCAAGTAACGGTTGTGAGATCAAGAGACAGCTGGTACATCAAGGAAACCTCCCCATTGTATACTTCAATTACACTCGAATCAGATTCTGGATTTGGTGAAAGCTTTGCAAAAACGTTCGTGGTCCAATTGATGGAAATCCAGAGAGCAGGGAAGTCTGCCTGGACACGTTTCAAACTGGAAATGGAACAAGCACAAATGGCCTCAGCGCTGCATGTGAACACGGCCACAATGCTTGAGCAGCTTTTTGAAAACAAAGGTCTGATACAGTCGCTGAAGGATGCCAAATATGACCTTGTCCTTGCTGACCCTGCTATACCAGGGGGGGTCCTGCTGGCCCACTACCTTAAGCTGCCTCTCGTTTTCAATGTCAGATGGACAAGTCAAGGTGAAGGCCACTTTTCAATCGCACCCACTCCTCTCTCTTATGTTCCATTGACAGGGACTGTGCTTTCAGATAAAATGAACTTTCTTGAAAGGGTTCTTAACGTAATCGTTTTTGGTTTCACAGAATATCAAATTGCATACTATGTTGTACCATATTATGTTGACCTGATTGATAAATATTTAGGTCCAGACGCAGACTTTTTCTCTCTATTTCAAGCTGCAGACATTTGGCTGATGAGAGTGGACTTTGTGTTTGAGTTCCCTCGTCCCACCATGCCTAATGTTGTCTACATGGGAGGGTTCCAGTGCAAACCAGCAAAACCTCTCCCTGAGCACCTGGAGGATTTTGTGCAGAGTTCTGGAGAGCATGGGGTCATCATCATGTCTCTGGGGACTTTGATTGGAGAGCTTCCCCACGACCTCGCTGATGAGATCGCTGCAGCGTTTGCTAAATTACCCCAGAAAGTCATCTGGAGATATATAGGAGACAGACCAGCCACTCTGGGCAACAACACTCTGCTAGTAGACTGGATGCCTCAGAATGACCTTTTAGGACATCCCAAGACAAAACTATTCGTGGCTCACGGAGGAACAAATGGAGTCCAAGAGGCTTTGTATCACGGAGTTCCTATCGTAGGACTTCCATTGATTTTTGATCAGCCTGATAATCTACATAGAATAGAAGTAAGAGGAGCCGGGAAGATTGTTGATATTTTTAGCATGACTGGAGACATCTTCTATCAAGGCATCCAGGAAGTCCTGAATGAGCCCTCCTACAGGTTGAACATGCAGAGACTCTCCAGGCTGCACAGAGATCAGCCAATGAAGCCGCTGGACACCGCCCTCTTCTGGATAGAGTTTGTCATGAGACACAAAGGTGCAGCTCACCTGAGAACAGAGTCCTACAGACTGCCCTGGTATTCCTATCACTCTGTAGATGTGATTTTGTTCCTGGCTGGAGCTGTGCTGCTCGTACTGTTCACTTTTGTGTTTTTCATCAGGTGTTTGTGCACTAAAATGTGTAAATCTAAAGTGAAACGTGAGTAAGCATTCAAGGGATACACACTGACCACATTGATTAAGAATAATGTATCGTAAATTGATTTTGGGATTAGTATTATAGACTAATATAAGATGTGTTTGTCAACCCATTTGTGGAACCTTTGACAATATGTTGTGTTATTTTAATTAGTTTGATCATATTTCATGAAGTCATTGCATAACTTATTAGAAGTTGAGAACTTTGTCAGAACTAACATTATGAATAAAATACTTGAAATGAATGTCAAATGAGATACATTTCACTGATCAAAGTCAGGATATTTATGATCTAACCTTTGTCAAAGGGCATTTTGCAGGAGTAACTATATGTAGCTCTATAAACATTAACATGTCATTAAAAGAGATTCACAGGATTTGATTGTTCAGGTCTGATTTATCCTGGAGAAAATAACATATGTATTTAGACTCATTTATTTCCTCGTGTTGGCTCTGTGTTGTGGGACCTTATTAAACCTCCAACCACCAGGTGGAGCATCTGTATTTTGACACTACTGATGTAGATGCACATGAGAAGGACATTTCAATCAGCTTCAGGTGTTTCTGCTTTGTATCATGGGACAACAGTTTTTCTAATGTGCTCCTGCCATGCTGAGCCATTGCCTTTGTTTCGGGGTAAGTACCTTTTGTGTAACATTAGAATAGCAATGATGTGACTGTGAAGAACCTGACAATGTGTTTGTTTATCTTCAAACTGGTTATTTATTGGAAGCACAAATCCCTCTCACAGTAATGGCCTCTCTGTGCCTTTTTGAAGGGCAAGTACTACACTTTGTCCTACCTGTTTTTCATTATACTATGTTTAACTTCCTGGAGTTGTCATGTTTCCCAAGAGGTGGAGTCTCTACCCGAAGGCTGTGCACAGATCTATGTGGATACTATGGCTTTTATTACTCAAGATGAAGTCATGTTAGGTCAAAGTGTTTTGTGTTATCCTTTGAACCTAAACTGAGTATTCAGCGTGAGCTCTATTCATGTTCATTAATTTAACAGCTTGGTAACAATATCTTGTAGTTTGAGTGAATATCCCTTTAAGAGACGATCACTTAATGTTGTTTGGTTTAACAGAACTGTTGTTATGGGTGAGGCAAAGAAAATCAGGAAGTGTTTCTCAGTCTGACAAGTTTGAATACAGGCATGCACAGTCCTGCCTCAACAATATGAAGCAGCAGTTGAGCAAAGCCCGAAAGGTTTAATTGTAAGTTTGCTTTTTATACATTTGTCTTTCGCTTCTTGCTCCAAACAAATGAAAGGTAAACACGTTAAGTTTTTTGCATGGCTTTTGAGAGATAAACTTCAAAATGATTACTCTTTCATGTCCTTACATTTGAGGATTATACAAATCAGATGATGTATATAATAATGAAATGTGCCAAAGTAGTTTGATATACTGTATAATGCATTCAGTATGTTTATGATGATACAATTCCTCATTTTACATCTAATTATTAGCATTCAACAGCACTCACTGCATAGTGAGGTGTCTGTATACATGTTTTTGCACAACATTTAAATTATACTGTATGTGCTGCCAATATAAAATCAAAGGTAATTTAGGTGCACACATATTTTTCAGCATAAATAAACAGAAAAATGTTTGCTTTTTTTGTATCTTATTGATACCCTGAGTTGTTACATTTAAGATCCCACTGCATCTTAAACGAATATGGGGCACTGCCTGTGTTAAAGGTACATGTATGAAGTAGACAACATATGTATTAGACTATATGAATAACACGGTAAAATGTTCCTGTTGACTGCACCACAGCTCTGGATTATTGCACCATGATGACTAAGTTCCCCGGTAAGGGACAAGAGTCTGTGCAGCAACTATCATGTGGGCGGGACACAATGAAGCAGGAAGTGTTTTATAGCCACACTGGTTTGTCCTCAAACTATGTGTTTGGATCTTATCTGTCAGGAGACTTTGTTTACATGAGTGCCTGAAAGGTTTTAATCTTCACATTTTAAAGATTGTTAGCGGTTTATGCGAGCAGAGTAAGTGACCTTTGTACATAGAGGGTTGTAGCAGTTGTTCCGTACTGAAGGGGAAATATTGTTTTTCTAGCTAATGTTATTGAATCAAGTCTATTGTTAAAAGAATAGACATTTGATCATAAGGAAAACAGGTGCATGAGATGTGTTGCACAGAGATGATATGGTGTATTAGATAGACGCCGATTCATATCCATTCCTTTATGCAGACTGTTCACAGTTCTGCTCAGGGAGATGGGGGTTAAACACAAAATGCACGTGAGGCTCTTGGCAGCGGACAGCACTCTAATTTCCTGAGAGAGGCTCCATGTGCCACATCCACGTGAGGGCTGTCATAAGGAATTTTTCCCACACAAAAGAAAGACCATTGAAAGGAACCTCATTGTAGCTCTCTATTGTGAGCATCCTTGTATATCATCTGTCTTTGTGCACACATTTCCTGGACAACTTGAGTAACCACTTCTGCTTTTCTTTCTGTACTACTTTCAGAGTGCACTGTTGGAGAAGATTTGAAGATGTTTTTGTCATTGGCTTCCGTCATCTCTCTTTTGGCTGTCATCTTTCCTGCTGCCCATTGTGGGAAAGTCTTGGTGTTTCCGCATGACGGCAGCCACTGGGTGAACATGAGGGTCCTTGTTGAGGAGCTGCACTCAAGAGGACACACTGTGACTGTCATCCGGCCTGCAGACAGCTGGTACATCAGTGATACGTCTCCACATTACAAAACTGTCACAGTGGATATGGACGGTGGTGCGAATGAAGATTTTTTTCGCCTATTTGTCTCTGAAGTTATTAGAATTAAACGAAGCAAGGAATCTGCATGGACACGTTTTGCCTTAGACATGGAGTTAAAAGACAAGTTCTTTGAACTACACAAGAAAATCTGTGAAATGGTCATTCACCTATTTGAAAATAAAGACTTAATGAAGTCCATTCAAGACACCAAGTACGATGTGGTTTTGACTGACCCTGCAAACGGAGGAGGAGTAATGCTGGCTCACTATCTCAGATTACCGCTAGTCTTTAATGCTCGATGGACTGTTCATGGTGAAGCCCATTTTGCAATCGCACCCTCCCCGCTATCATACGTTCCCCTTCCACCGTCAGAATTATCAGATAAAATGACTTTCTTTGAGAGGGTCAAAAACATTGTATTTTACACCATGAGGATGCATTTGTACAAACAGGTAGTTGGGCCGCATTATTCTGCATTGGCAAGCCGCTACTTTGGCCCTGATGTGGATTACTTCTCTCTATTTCAAGCTGCAGACCTGTGGCTGATGAGAGTGGACTTTGTGTTTGAGTTTCCTCGTCCCACCATGCCTAATGTTGTCTACATGGGAGGGTTCCAGTGCAAACCAGCAAAACCTCTCCCTGAACACCTGGAGGAGTTTGTGCAGAGTTCTGGAGAGCATGGGGTCATCATCATGTCTCTGGGGACTTTGATTGGAGAGCTTCCCCATGACCTCGCTGATGAGATCGCTGCAACGTTTGCTAAATTACCCCAGAAAGTCATCTGGAGATATAAAGGTGACAGACCAGCCACTCTGGGCAACAACACTCTGCTAGTAGACTGGATGCCTCAGAATGACCTTTTAGGACATCCAAATATGAAACTATTTGTCAGTCATGGAGGAACCAATGGCATATATGAGGCCATATATCATGGCATTCCTATTGTAGGCATTCCAATTGTGTTTGATCAAGCCGACAACCTCTCCAGACTGAGAGCGAAAGGCGTTGCAAAGGTTATGGACGTTTCCGAATTGGACAGCAAAACATTTCAGGATGCCATCCAGGACGTCCTGAATGAGCCCTCCTACAGGTTGAACATGCAGAGACTCTCCAGGCTGCACAGAGATCAGCCAATGAAGCCGCTGGACACCGCCCTCTTCTGGATAGAGTTTGTCATGAGACACAAAGGTGCAGCTCACCTGAGAACAGAGTCCTACAGACTGCCCTGGTATTCCTACCACTCTGTAGATGTGATTTTGTTCCTGACTGGAGCTGTGCTGCTCGTACTGTTCACTTTTTTCTTTGTCATCAGGTTTTTGTGCACTAAAATGTGTAAATCTAAAGTGAAACGGGACTGAACATTCACAGGAAAGACATTGTGCGCATTTTACGGAGAACACATACATATGAAAATAGAGACTGCCCTTGTTTTTTTACCACTCTGTAAATGTGATGCTCTTTTTGAAAAAAGATTAAGGTAGCAAACATAATGACATCTGAACAAATCAAATAATGTTTTCCTAGCCATTTTTACAAAAGAATAACATTTCCAATTTGTTAAAAAGATTGTTCTAATTCAAGAAAAGAAAAGCCAACAAACATTTATAAACCAGTGCTTTATACAACTTTATTTTATCAGCAAAGAAGAACCCGTGCTGAATGTTGAGGGCTGTTTATTTTTAGGTTTCACCAGAAATGCTCCCGTTATTGTTTAGAAACTCTGTGCTTTTGAAAAAACAAACATGTCATAACATTAAGCATTTCATTATTTTGAAAAAAAACTTTAACCTTTTAGGAGAAATGTTTTCAAACTATGTGGATACTGTTCATGAGTTTATCTTTTTTAATTAACTCACAATGCTCTGGCTTGCTGTCTCTAAGCACCACCAGGCTTTTCGCATTAAATCATTACACTATTCTGCCACATTGAACTTAAGATTTTCCTTATGCTTAAATCCTTTAAATGTTGTTACCTGCACGATATTTGTTTTGATAGCTAAATCTTGCTTCATACCACATTGGGTTACATTCATTCCAGTGTTGATGAGGAACCTCTTTCATTTTAGTCGGATTTTCTGTGTTAAGAATGATTTTTTTTATTTCAAATGGATGTAAACATTTTGAAAACAAGTTATTTTGAATGGCTATTTTCTACTACAGGATTTCTCCTAACTTTTGGCTGGGGTGACATGTACACTATTAAAGACCCTACATTTGACTTTTGATATTGCTAAAACCATAATTGTGATGAATAAACGAATCAGTCCAATTCCTAATGTACCCTTCATTCCAATATCATTATCATTGCCATTACCGAAAGCTTTATCTTAACTTGATGTAAGAGAAACACTTGATACTTGGTAATGATTTGAATGAAGAGGAGATGTTTACTATAGCATTACACAAAGCATTCAGATGGGTTACAACATGTTTAAAGTCAATGTCATTATCAGTGTAAAGGACAGTAAGCTAGCTAATCTTTACATAACCATTACAGGGTGTAGATGTGGAGATGTCCTTGCCTTGATGTAACAAAGGAACAACTTGTTTTATGAGAAAGCTGATTGTGATTTGTGTATTTTGGACCTGGAACCACTTTAGTAGATTTTCAATTGTGTTTAAATCTCAATGTCCTATTCTCGCTAAAGCTGTCCCTTAATAATTTAATGTTGAACTGCCTCTGGAGACTTTTGAAAGTGAAATCTACGTTACAAAAAAGAAAACTGCATATTTGCCAAATGACCTCTGAAAGTCACACGGGTAATAGGTCTCTCGACAAGAACATGAACCATCATCTAAGCAGTTTTATTGCTCATGTAAGAAAGTAGTTTAGGAAAATACTTAAAGAATCCCAGCCTTGATTTGTTGGTGATGAATATGATGCCCTGCTGTGTGGGGAGGGGAGCGGATAAATACAACAACTTCCTCAAGGCCAAACAGGAAGTCGTGAATAAGCCCCTTCCACAGGATGAACATGCAGGGTCTCTGCCGATTTCCACGCTTAATTGGCTTAACTTGCACTTGGGCAATAACAAAAATACAAGTCAGAGCTACAGTACTGCTGTATGTGTCGGTTAAGGCAGACATACACATCTCTAGGCGGTTGAGATCTGCCAATAACTCCATCAAACCGCAGTCTCGTCTAGAGAAAGGCTTTCATAAGGCGCACCTGCCAAACTAGATCTGTCGATGTATTTCTCTGTACATTTCATGCTGTTTCTAGCACGTGTCTGGATATTTTTGCTCTTTTTTGTATACGGCGCTTGTTTAATTTGTGTAAGGCATCGAGTGTCTGGCAAGCATTATAAGCCTCAAGTTAAAAGGATACTCTAAATGTTACCATGCATTGCTTTAAATAAATACAAAATTCTGTTCTGTTCCACCGTGTAGTAGTATTTGTGAAATGCACTTGTATTGTGGAAACTGACTGATATTATGACACCACTGTTCAAATCCCTGAGGGTTTTTTCTTAAATAAATAAATTCTTTTATTACAAAACAATAAAAAAACATACTGCAAATAGTGGTACACAATTTGGTTCTACATGCATACATTGGCTGGTTGCAGCTATGATACAGATCATCATGTACAGGAAGATCAGTTTCATCTGACTGATCTGTTTGGTAGGATATCACATGACGGGGTCTGACCACATAGTGAAGTGAAATGTCACCTTGAATTAACATTTTAATCTTTGGCCAACACATATACAACTAATCCATATTAAATGCCTTGTGGGTTCCATTTGGGTCAATTTAGATAATTTAAAAGGCACAAGAAACGTAAAATAAAAAAGAGAGGCTTTTGTCAATGTATAAAGTGATACGTAAGAGAGAAGCATTTCTCTTATCTGCTGGCTGTGAATTCAAGTCCAGTAACCACACAAAATGCACCAAAGTGAAATACCACTTTAAAGGAATAGTTTGACATTTTGTGAAACATGCTTATTTACTTTTTGCTGAGAGTTAGATAAGAAGATCGATACTTCTCTGTTTGTCCGGTAAATACAAGGCTGGAGTCAGCAGCCAGCAGAAAGACAGTAAAATTATGAAAGACATAATTCACAATTTTATGGGAGGCTATGTCCTCGACTATGTCTTACAGTTATTTCCCGGATTCTCCACTGTTTGGCTTTCAACTCCTCCAACACAAGTAATGGTCCGTAACATGAGTAACATAACCCCCCGATAACACAGTACATTGTTGTTTTGTCTGGCAAGCAATGTGTTACCTTAGGGCTGTGTAGGCCCCCCCCTAGAAGTTACTAAACTACCTGCCTAAAGACTGTAGATGTATTATAAATGGACAAACATCTGTCGTCTCATCTAACTCAAAAAGAAAATAAGCACATTTCCCACGATATCAAAATATGCGTTTACATATAGATTAAAACTAATACTGCAGTATGAGAGGAACAGTAGTAATATGTCCGTTGATAACACATTTGTCCAGGTTGTATAGAGGGAAAATACTTTCAAACATCACTTATTGACAACAGTTGTGAAAAGTAAAGTCTGTTCAGGGTATTTACAAAGTGTCCATGCCAGCAGGGTGGGTATGTTGGGCGGTGTCAGTCCTCTCAGGATGTCCTGGTCCGTAGAGAGCTCATCCTGAGCACCGTGAGCTCGGCTACATCTGCATCCTGCATCTCCTCCTCCTGGTGGCAGCTTTCTCTGACAACATACACTACGAGACCCGCGCAGATGAAAATGAGGAGGATTATGCCTATAACCTGGGGTACAAAAGAGTTTGTTTAGTTAACATCCACAGCAAATGCATTCTTTTGATTAACAAAGTGTATACTATTATTAGTTTCAAAGGCTAATGGCATTACATATATTCTCTACAGTGTATACTCGGGGGAGGTGTTTCCACTCCACTCATCCTACACACTCTTCTGTAAACTAGAAAATATTCAACTGACCTGAGAAAAAACAAACAGCTGCTGTGAGCGGAGCATTAGTTCTTGTGGGGTGACATCTCCCTCGTTAATTGGCTCACACCACTTCTGCGGAGCTGCTTTGTCAACTATTACAAATCTACCCTCCCAGTCTGTCATAGCACAAGCAAAGTATTGGCCATCGAGGAACAACAAAATCAGCCACACGATAGCAGGAACGAAGCTGGAGAGGGAAACATTTTTCCTGCACCACGTATCACATCTGCATCCTTGAATGATCAGCATCAACGTGAAGGCCATGACAGCAGGAATGATGAAGAAGGCTGATGAAAAAACTCCGTTCCACGTAGGGTTGCAAGGACACTCAAACTCCAGCTCCACCAGCTTCTCTAGTCCCATGAGGATGAAGCCAAAAGCCACATTTGATACCAGAGGACTGTTGCTAAGTTCATTTTTCAGCCTGGTAAGCCATTGTTGTCTACTTTCCATACTAGATTGACCGAGAAATGAAGACAACCGCTGCAAAAAGCCCAAAAGAGGGTCCACCGTTGTGAACACATTGACAACAGCTAAGTGATGCGTAATTAACTCATCCAGGGGTAAGTTTTCCCCTCAGGCCAAATGCCACACTTCCACTCTGATTGGTTTCGAACAAAGGAGGGTGTGCCGACGGCTCTGACATTTCTCTAGCTGATTGGTCTGTGCGAGGTTTCAGGTGGGGTTACATTTGAAATGTGGTCTCTCATGGACAAACTGGAGGGAGGGCTGTAAAGTGGAGGGAAGTTTGTTCTGCAGTTGAGCACAGACTGTCCCTCTGCAAACAGTCCGGCCAAAAAACCTGCATGGACATGTAGGTATTTATCACAGGGCAAGACTTTACATTGAATAGTCAAGTTACAGGCACACTTTTTTACTCAAACCTAACACAAGAAGGAAGTGTTGCAATTAAATAAATAGTGTTGCAATTAAATAAATAGTGTATTTACTAATTAAAAAGACTGGTTACAATATATTAAAGTCCTCAGGTGTTTTTGTTTTATGTCTTAGTATTGGCATTACAAAATTAATACATGCTGACTGTTGATGTCACCCCAAATGGCCACATGAGGTCACCCACGCTGCAGCACAGATTAAAGACAGAGAGGATTACAGGAGGCCATGTTGAACTTTCAAGGGGGATGTGGTACATACAGCTTGAGAACACCCAGGCCACCGATGTGATGACATAATTTATAAATGACCTCAGCGAGCTCAAGAGCATCACCATAATCTCCTCACATTAAAACCTGACAAGAGAAAGTATTTAGGCTTGGAATGATGGGACTGCTGAAAACTGTGGCTGGATCGCCTTCAGTTTGTTTGCATAACCAGTGCCAGTTTTTGATAAAACTACTCCAATATTGACTAAAGAAATGTAACCTACAGGCATTTGTGCTGCATGGTTTGTGACAAATCCGACTTGACTGGTGGTAAACGAGCTGACAGTTTATGGGTACATTAATATTGCAAGAGATGTTAGAAATAGTAAGAGAATCATAGGCTATTACTGTAGCCGACCAGTTCAGTAGCCTAAATACTGTATGAGCAGAAACAACCTGCTGTAAACGGGACATTTTTTAAACCATCTCGTTAAATAACAATTAAAGTTGACCAGGAAATGAAGGCAGATAATATGAGTTCACAAACACCATCAATTGAATGCGTGCTATGTGTGTGTGTGTGCATGTGTGTATTTATCTACGGTCATGCGCGCATAGGGCACGCGCAGCTCGTCGTTGCTGAGTCCTGCCAGCATCTGTTCCTCTTTTTTTTTGTATTGGAACACACACTTATGTTTCGGCTACATCACTTCTCGTGGGGAATAATTTGTGCGCTTTACTTTTATTTTTAACCACCGAACCGTGACCGCGAGTGCGCAAATGCGCATCGGTCTGCGCATCTTTGAATCTACAGAACTACACTGTGGACAATCTCCCTGACATCCAGAGACCTCTCTCCTCCGCAATCCGACGAGGCTTCTTCACCGCCTATGGCCGCACATCGGCATCCCTGAGCCGCTGGCCTCGTCCCGGACCTTTCACCCATCGCTGCCCTCAGAAAGTCTTTGAAGCAGGGAGGCGTTTTACACATTTTGTAAAATTATCCACCGCTGACTATTTGTTTTAAAGAACCCGGTGCTATGCAGGGCCCATCTCTCTAGATCTTGTGATTAATACACGATCTCTCCTCCCACATTCGTCCGACCGAGACCCTGGTCCTCTCTTCGAACCCCAGCAATGCATCCTAACGCAGTGATGCTGGCGCTGGTCCTTTTGGGGAACTTGATGCTGCCTCTCATCTCGGCTCAAAACGGTAAGAAAAGCAGATGTGACCCTGGTGTTATTGTAAACATCGCGTTGAGGGAAAGTGACTTGACTTGTGTGAGGACGCCCGAGCGAAATTTAAAGACTGCGTTAAAGCTACTACTGTAGTTTCACGCATCTCGACAAAACAAGGCCAGAGTAAGACGCCAGCAAATGTGATAGAATATATGAACACAAAACGGAACTCTTAACGAATACACCAGGAGGAAACTAACGTTTGTGTGATTTTTGTGCAAGGTTATTGCCTGTCAACTGTGTCTGTGGGAGGAATATGCTGTCAAATGTGATTTAAAATAGACTATAGCTGGGGAAAAAGTGATGTTTGCACCTGCATAGAATTATTCCTGAATATTTACAATTAGTAGTGGCCTCTGGGAAGCCTTAGGCTGCATGCCAGTGTGCGGTGTGTTTAGTTAAAGGGGGTTGGGTAGAGTGTGTCAAGCAAGACTAACCTGCTACGGATGCTGATCCAGTCATATATTATCTACACCCAACACAGGATTAAGACTCGCCCAGTGTGTGGAAATAGGTCTACTGTAAATACCAGGCCCATTGTGATCACAGTTTTTGGGACTATAGGCATGTTTTTTGACACTTATCTGACAAAACTAGTCCACTATAATAATACATTTTCTGTCACACGACCTTACATGGATCGTTCTCCCTTGCCTTACTGGTTCAGTGTGGGATTATTGCACAACTAGATGCATGCACAGATAAATCCCCTATTTACTTTTAGTGATTATAATGCAGCACTACTGTAGTTGTTTTCTCTATTCTCAATATTCAAAGAATATGGGATTTGTTAACATAGGATTTTCAGTTGTGACTTTGATTTCTAAAGTTCACAGTGCATTATTCATACTAAACCTGACATGATTTGGTTTAAGTAAATGTCAGTAGCATGCTGTTGGGTGTTCCAGGCTGCCCTCCTCTGACACAGCATGTCCTTACTTCAAATTATGTTGAATCACATCACCCAGAGGGCCACACAAATCAGCAGATAAAATGCATGAGATAAAAGTGTTATCTTTTCAATCTTTCTGGGGTTTTTCGATCTCTGAGCAACTCTCATGTGATTGTGAAGATGTTGATGCTTTAATATACAAATTGAAC